ATGAAAAACAGGAGTGTGATTAATCAGTTTTATTCACAGGGGTTATCTCATTTGTTTTATGTAATTTACTGATAGTGACATCATTTGCACAATTATGAAATATAGTACAGCACCTTGGCAGATTGCACACTTTGGCCGTCTTAAAAAAAGAAAAGGAAAAAGAAACAGATAAGCACATTCTAAGAATAGGGAGTAGATATGAGTACTTAAGGAGGAATTTTCCTGGTAATAATATATAATTTTCTCCTTCCTGTAAGATTAGAATTCTCTGATCAGTAAAAAAAAAAAAAAGATATTACTTAATATACTGTATCTCACATCCACTTGATAACACATGCATAGAGAGTAAAACATTGAAGAGGCCTGTTGAATACCTCCAGAGCCTTCAACGCCTTGGGCTGAATCTCATCCATCTCCTGCGGCCTTGTTGTGATGAAGATTTCTAACCACCATAGTAACTTTAGCCACAGAGATAGACTCCAAAACACCAGATATTTCTGGCAATGCCTCTTTAAAGGAGGGCATGTCCGCTGGGTTATGGACTTTCTCAAAGTGCTCCTTCCATCACTCAGTAACATTGCTCAACATTACTTGTGAAATGGTATCATCTCCTTTTCCTAAGGCATGGAATGGTTTGCTAGAATTTCTCTGAGGCCACCCAAAAGTCTTTTTCCATGGGCTCTCCAAACCCGCCCCCCACCTCATGCCCAAACCTTTGCTTCTGCAGAACTTCTGGCCCTACTATCGTGTGAATCCTCTCCTATCTCAAGTGAATCACCAGACCTCTTTGTTAGCATTAATCCGAAGGCCTCCTTCTTCAATTTGACAGCATACCTCACCACAGGGGTCAACCACTGCATTCTAGATTTGCAGCCATTACAGGCACCAACAGCCTTCTGGTCACAGCTTCATTTATCCCTCACAGAAACATCCAGCAGGCATACCCAAGCAACCCAGGTGGCTTGGCCAATGCCCTGTGCAACAAATCACAACTCGCCACCAAGTGACGACCAGTTGATAGCTTTGAGAATGTCTTTACGTAAGTTCCAAAACATTAGCCACAAGTGTAATGATGCAATAACGAAACCGATCATTGACCTTTGACACACGGTACTCATAGAAAGTAAACGTACTAGCAACCTTATGTTTGAATAAAGTGTTCATTATTAAAAATCTGGGGATCGTACAACAGTCTAATAACATTTCACCGCTCAGGTCTCAGGTTCAGCTCTAGGAGGGTGTTCCAATTACACCTCTCCAAATATCTCTATCATTCCCAACATGAAATTGATGCACACAAACAGCAGTCTGAGTTTTCCGTCCTGATACTCAAAATGGTATAGAGGCAACCTTCTTGTCCACTAGGGAAAACTCCAACTTCCAGGACCTTCTCCTGGGACTGGTGAGTATCCAGACACCTGACTAAGGCCTCCTGTGGGAGCCCTGAAGTAGGAGAGAGACTACTCCCGTCCTCATATTTGGTACTGGAGCCCTTACTGTGTGTAGACACAAGGCAGACAATATCTAGTCAAAGGTCTAGTCTATCTAAGACTGTCCATATCATGCCTGCCCAACTGGCACTGCACCTGACCTCCGCCCTTCATCTTGCAGATGGTAAGCCCACACATCGTCATTTCAGACTGAGCTCAACAGGTTATTGGGGTGATCCAGCCACCAAGTGCTTACTTAGGATCGCCCTTTGTCTGACCTCTCTACTCAGATCTGTTCACCAAGGGTGGCTCTACCGGTAAGATTAAACTCCCAGTGACAACTTTGAGCTTCTCCTAAGTACACAAGCCCCTTCATACCAACAAGGTGTCAATTCAGAAAGGTCATTAGTGAGTACTCAGATCTAAATGGATGGAGTGAGGACAAAAAGGAGACAGAACCTCCTAAAAAGAATAGACAAAAACATTCTCAAACACAGTGTTAGGAGAGTTCACGAGCTGTAGTTAAACTCTGTTATTAGTTCATGATGAAGAAATTAAATAAAATCTCGGTGAGATAATGGTTACTTTGACTAATAAAACTGGAATGAATTGCACTTCTTAATTCGGAGAAGAATTCATTAGGAAATATCTCATAATTAATGTCTTGTTTTACTGCTGAAAACAGCAAGCAATCATTTCTTTTTCTTAACACCTGTCTAAATTCTGCCAAATAAATAAAACAGATGTGGAATAAATGTTAAGAAAGGAGTCACTCCAAAGGTTTAGATCGGAGTTTCCTTGGAGTTGGAATTTGTTTGTTTGTTATTTGCTTGTAAAGTTTTCAAATATATTTTTAAAGGGACCATTGATATGTAATTAACAGTTTTATAGAATATGCATAACTATTGCTATAATAATATGATATCTGTATGATTTTCCAAAATACCAAGTAAAGAGTATCAGTGATTTTTATAACAAAACCAACATAATATTCTCATTAAAGAGGAACTTTCCCTTTTCCCTAAATCATTTATTTGTAAACAAAACAAAAATATTGTAGACATTAACTAATTCATTAATTGTCAGAAACCGCTGTATCCTGGTCAGGGTCATGGTGCATCTGGAGGCTACAGTTGTGCTCATAAATTTACACACCCCTTGCAGAATCTGCAAAATTTTAATAATTAAAACTAAATAAATAAATAGAGGGACCATAAACATTGCATTTTATTTTTTATTTAATGCTGCCCTGAAGAAGCTGTTTCACATAACAGATGTTTACATATAGTCCAGTACTAAATAAAATAACTAAACAAAATGTAATTTTAATTATCCCTCTTATTTAAAAAAAATAATTAACATTTTGCATCTTATTTTTTTAATTATTAAATTTGCATAGCCCTTGCAGAATCTGTAAAATGTTAACATTTGCAAATTTATGAGCACACCCTGGAAATACACCCTTGATGGGACTTGTACACAAGGTGCGATTTGAACACACTTAGGGCAATTTAACATAGCTAGTCCACCTATCACCATGTTTTTGAGAGGTGAGAGGAAAACTGGAGAACCCACAGGCAACTCGCAGAGATACATTTACAACATGCGAAACTCAGGCAGTACCCTGAGCTCAGGATCAAGCCCTGGACCACCGTGACATCACTGTAGACATTATAAACATTAAACTAAAATATATTTGAAGTTTATAATTGTTTTTTTATTTTGTCAAACTACACGGTAAATGCATTTATCCGTTTAAACCCTAGAATAGAGGGTTATCCTTTTAGAAAAGGTTCTTTATAGAACCTATAGACAGAAATCTGTATTTAAATATAGATCTCTAATAAGCAAGCTGGAGGTGGCAGTGGCAAGGAAAAACTCCCTGAAACAACATGAGGAAGAAACAATATTCTTCTGGGTGACAACATTAACCCTTGGGAATGATATATATTGTGCATTTTGAACATATCCTAAAGCATTAAATAAAGCACTTTATTAATACATATATACTTTTATTTCTCTAATAATTCATATATAATTCATATATTTCTTTATTCTATATGTATTCATATAACAGTCATGTAGACATACATCGATAAAGTACAGGAGATTTTAACTTTGCTAGAGAGTAAATTGTAAAGACATGAACAAGATAGGGAGGAGGAAGAGGCATCACTATTTTGAGGCACACACTAAATACATAGAATACATTCATGTCTGCATGCATGCGCGCGCACACACTAACAGATCGAACCATGGCTTTTGGCTTTTCTACATTTACTTAAAGCTCACACACACAAACTAATGAACATCACACCCGTATATGTCCTCTCAAAGAGGTTGACAGGTTGTCACATGACCAAAACACAAACAGTAACACTCACAGAACAGACAGGTACATACTTGTACTTTCAGTTATTACTAGTTTCCCCCCCAGGAAAACCCGGCCTTTATGGTTAAAGTTGAACCATTTGTAACAAGCACACTATTATTTGGTTTCTGCTACCTTGTCATTCACATATAACATGGGAAAGAAAGAGTCACTGTGTTGGCAGTTGGTTTCCAGTTTCATGAGGGAGGCAGAGAAAGATGCATTATGTTACTGCAATTACACAAACGATCCAAAGTAAGTTGATGTTACGTGTATTATGCTGTAGTCACATTATGTGTATTTTGTGGGTTTGATAAACTTGAAAACCTACGCCCAAACACTCACACATGCACACCTGTGTAACAAAACAAACCTTCTTTTTCTCTCTCTGAGGAGTTCAAACCCCCAAACCACAAAGAGCTATGACGTAAATTTAACAAGAATAAAAGTCATATCCAATTATATTTGGCTTCATAAATATTATATATAATATGTAAAAGCTACCTGAAATGACAAATGCATATAAAACAAAACTGTTAGTTGGTGGGAGATCTATGCATTCAGATGTCCTATTTGATCTGAAAGTGCTAAATAGAGAGAGACATGTATATACTATGTACACTGCCCATTAGTGATTTCTTTAGTACTTCTAGTACATTTGTTTGAAACAATATAACAAATCACAAAATGGTGACAAAAACCAAAAAGACATTTGTGCTACTAGACTCCTGACTTGAATACCCAATAGATATATCTTTATGGTAGATGCTATCTCACGTGTACATTGAACGCTGCCACATTTAGTAATGATGGGTAATAGAGCAGCTAGATTGCTGGATGCAAGAATCCAGCCATCACATGTTCTGGATGGAGATGCCTTTGGCAGATCTGGGATAGGAAGGAGGGCTGGAATCCCCACTTGTGCTACATGTCCAGCAGAGGGCGAAGGGTCTCCAATCACACCGCGTTGGTGATGATGATATCTCTGTGCAGGCCTTCAATGTTTGCAGGCACAGGGGTGATGCTCTTCATCAGACGCTGAGGAGAAAAGAATGAGTGAGCAATACATGCTGTGGACTATGTTTCCATTTGCATTTATGGCATTTGGGAGACACTCTTATCCCGGAGTGACTTACAGTTATTGTATTTTTATAGAACTGAGCAGTTGAGGATAAGGGCCTTACTCAAGGGCCCAGCAGAGGCAGGCTTGGGATTTGAACTCATGACTTTCGAATCAGTAGTCCAACATCTTAACCAATGATGTACTACTGCCCGTGCTTTAGACTACAGACTTTAGAGTCATAAGTAAATGAATGAATGGATGAGATTAAAAAAAAATAAAAATCAGAATACAGTTAGAAAAATTTCTAATTAATGAATTCGGTTATGAAATGTACATGCTAAACCTGGCATGTACAGTATATGGACATCATGTCCGATGCAGTCTGCCAGACAGACAATTCAATGGAGTAGTTTGGAGTCCCCTGCTGCCTGTGAGGCAAAATGCAATTTCAAGAAAAAACACTAATAAGCCTTCCACACACTCAAATCAACCTCAACCCCCTGCTTAAACTACTGAGAGTTGTGAGTTATCTTCTTCCTGTTGGGGAAGAGTTACTGTAAATTCCAGGCCAGAAATAATCGAAAACTAAAATGACACGGATATGGCAACATTGTGAATCATTTTAAAAAGATCATCTTTTAAACATATATGATTTGGCTAGAAAAAGGCTAGAAAAATCCAATTAAGAAATAAAAAAAAATAAATTAAGAAGAACTAGCCTTACACCATAACAAACTGACTTAATTTAATTTATCTAGAAATTCTATAGTTTGCAAGAAATAATTTGTAATGCTCTGACAGAACTCTCCATGCACTAAGTGTTTTCTCTCACTGGTCTCGTCTTAGCTGCACTGCTTTTGGAATTTCAGGAGAAATGTGGGAGGGTTTCCAAGGTGTATACTTTTTTTTCTACACATGTGCTGATGACAAGTGCATTGTGTGTTCTTAGTCTGGTAAATCATTATGAATAAAATAACTAAACAAATATTGAGCACTGATTTATGTGCCCATGAACAATAAATGTCAAACAGCTCTGAATGTTAAAATCCATTATTTCATTAGAGTTAGAGGAAAAGATGAAGTCCTTTCAAACTAGGTTCTCTGGTTTATTTTTTATCCCCAAGTAAGTTTCAGCCAGCCAAATGAGGGCTTAATAAACACCCATATTCCTTGCAACAATAATCAGTTAGTGAGTGTTTAGACAACTGCTGTGTCTGAAATGGTGCCTTTACAGTGTATTATGGGTATACTGTACAAGGTAGGGTATGTAGTGGGACCTGTATATTCATCATTAAAGTTTCATTTTTTCAATTTCCCAAATAATGCACAATATGGTGAATATGGTATGATTTCAGAAATTACTAACACCTAGAGCATACCTATAGGGTCCCCCCCATGCTAATATAACACATCTGAACCAGTGAATGAAAACCTCAAATCCTCAAAACTTTAAAATCAAGTATGTTGGAAATGGACATGCACTCTGAGTACCAGAGCATATCTCCATGCCCTTCTCACCTGGTTTCCCACTGAAACTAAACAGGGTTGAGCCTGGCCAGTACCAGGATAGGAGACCTCCTGGGGGAACACTAAGGTTGGTGCTGGCACTGGTAATAGTGAGGCTAGCAGGGGGAGCTCACCCTGTGGTTTGTGTGAGACCTAATGCCACAGTGTTAGGTACACTATATTTTGGATGAGATGTTAAAAATCCCAGGGCACTTATCGTAAAAGGGTAGGGATATACCCCGTTGTCCTCAGGGTTTCCATCATGGCCCCCTAATAATCCCCATCACCAAACTGGCTACATCGCTCCCTCCTCTCCACTAATAGCTGGTGTGTGGTTGGCGTTCTGGTGCACTATGGCTGCCATCGCATTATCCAGGTGGATGCCACACACTAGTGGTGGTTGAGGAGATACACCCCCCCCACTATGTAAAGTGCTTTGAGTGTCTAGAAAAGAGCTATATAAATGTAACTATCTAACTGAGTCTTGCTCCCAACTTACACCAAGGACGTGTGTCTTTACCACCAGTTAACAGCTATAATGCTAAACACACATCCTATCTGACACACCCTTTCAGCACCATTGTGTATTTAAGGCATATGCAAACACGCAGCAATCGTCCTGACTGACAGCTCTATCAAAAGCAGCCGGACGAGAAGCAGGACGGCAGTGGCATCTGGACCGTGCTCGCATCTCTCGTCACGTCTCGTGCAGACTAAATGGATAATGTGAGTCACAGTCTTATGAGAGTGTGTTTATCTAATTTACCTGCATCTCCTCTTTGTCACATGTGCGCTACTGCATAATGACAGATGGGTTTAAGCGCTGTTGTTTCTGCTGCTGGCGTACCTGTTTGAAGGTCCCTTTGGTGGTAAGCAGGTGGTAGACCATGTAGGAAGGCACACAGATGAAAGAGGAGACACCGATGCAGTAGCCCAGTACAGTGGTCCAGAATGGGTACAGGTAGTTAAACAGCCTCACCTCAGGAGGGAAGGCCAGGAAACTTCCAATGATGAACTATAAGCAAATTACACATGGAACAAATAAGTTTCCTGTTAGATGGGAAGTTTAGTGGTATGTTCATTACTGGCATATGGGACAATTGGGCAATTATTAAGGGAAAAAATTGCATTTGCAAAATACCTGATTTGACATTACTGTTTTGGCTCCACAGTTGCTCCTAATGCTCAAAATATGTATTACAAAATACAATGCTACAATATTTTCAATCAATACGAGCTAGATATTATTGTTCAATTCTACCTGAATTTCAACGTGTAAATGGCCTCTTAGAGATGTGATTTGAGGTCAGGTGGAGCAGCAACTGGGATGGATACACCCCTATGTTGATTAAATCTAATAATACTTAGCACCATTCTATCTGTTGTTTCTTTTTCATTATGATGCAATAGTGGGCACTTTCATACTTTTTTTCCCAAACCTGATGCTGTTTGTTTGAGACTAAAAGCAGTTGTTGAACCCGTGTGAAGTTCACGGAATCGATCTCTGAATCCAAATGAACTCAGGTGCAAACTGTACCTTGTAATCGGCACATAAGGCTGAACATTGAATAGCTTACTTGTTTGAACTTGTCAAATAATGTCCAAATAATGGCAGGAAGATGTATATTGTGGGCTGCAGATTAGATATAATGGCTTCTAGATATATGGAGTGTAGAAAACATTCAAACTTATAAATTATTGTTGGATAAATGAGAGTAGCTTTCACTGAAAAGCTTTAGCTGAAACTTTGTCAAGTAAACGCAAAGACCCAACTACTTAAAAACATTGATAAGAACAATAAACAGAAGTACCTGTTCTCCCTCATTTTCCCCAATATGTGATGATAACGATGTCACCTCCCCCAAACAAGGTAAGACTCAATCCTGGGTATGGATTTGAATATTCAAGGCAAGTGTGAAAAGACCCTAAATATCCCTGGTTTTACCATGTCATAGAGACTAAAGCATATGGTTATATGTGTGTGTTTTGGGCTTGTTTCACTTGTGGCTGGACTGACCAGTAGGAAGCAGGGGCAGATGGCCACCCAACACACCCTCCAGAACAGTCCGGGGGAGAAGCCAAGCATCAGCTGCACGTCATTGCAGAAACGTGTCGTCCCTCGACACACACACACACACAGACACATAATGAGGCCACATAATATACTACAGAGACACAGAAAATTCCCTAGGTGACTCTGATGAAGTTCAGGTATTTACCATAAAACCAGGAAACAGCAATGACTTCAAGGAAGACTACAGTGATGACAGCAGGGCCTGTTGCGTATTCTTCAAACAGTTTCACTACAAACGCCCCTCCCTATATCAACATCACACTGGTAATAGCACTTACTTCCACACTGATATATTTTTAAAAAATAAAGAAAGAAATTCAAACAATCAATACTTTATCATTTGCTATGGATCCAGAATACAGTCTCATTGTTATTTCAATGAACAGTGGAATGTGTAGGGACTCACATAGGTAAGTGTGGACAGAGCTCCCAGGTAGCAGACACACACCAGACCTAGCACAAACCACTCTCTCCTGCGGGCCAACAGGTGGGGAAACTCGTCCAACATGGCGGTGATCACTCCTTCCAGCCCAGCAAACTGCAAGTGGAGACATAAATGGTGCTAATAAAGTGGGTGCCACTGGTTACACAATGCAGACACTGGCGTTAACTATAACTGTAACAAATATACACTCACAGCTCAGTGCATTCTGACAAAGCCAAGCGTTGAACAGGAACAAAGACCAGACCCACCAATAATCTCATTAGTGCATCGTGATAAGCACATGCTGTCATTCATTGTGGCTGTTTACCACAGAAACTGTATGAGAGGTTTAATATGATCCTTTAGGAAAGAGGCATTTAAAAGGGCAAACCAGGGACAGCAGAGTGACCAACAGCCTAAGTACAGCAATTGGCAGAGAATACTGTGTCAGCCAAAATGTTGTGCTCTTAGCTGATAAGCTAAATGCTTAGTAAAAACCTGCTTAGGGCTCCACATGCTATCATTAAGATAGGTTCCCAGTAGCTGGGCTAATTAACTAGTGGGACAGGGAGACTCACCGTGCTATCTAATCCCAGCATGATGATCATGAGGAAGAAGATAATAGCAAGGAAAGTGCTAGCAGGCATGTTGGCGATGGCCTCCGCGTAGACAATGAAAAGTAGACTGGGACCTACAATGAAAGGCAAATTTGATGAAGAGCTTCAGTAGAAAGTACAGCCTCATTAAGCTTCTGTGTACTCTTAACACACATACTATATCAACATATCTCTTTAGCATGCTTTATAGAAAGTAAAAGTTAGATCCATTTTACAGTCATACTGTATGTAAGGGAACTGACATACATTTAAAATGGTGCTACAAATAAAGCTTCTGCTTCTCACCAGCATCCTTTGCTACTGTCTCAACCCCCTCCTTCCGCATCTCAGCCATGTATCCCAGTACGGTGAAGATCACAAAGCCTGACATGAAGCTGGTCAGACAGTTCACTGAGCTCGTCACCAACGCATCTCTAAAACACAAATAGAAACTATTTACAGCATTCTGCTTTTTTAGTTATTTAACGAGTTACTTCATGTGTAATTCATTCATGTACACATTTTATAAGAAAGTGTAAATGATTTACAAATAACAAACCTGTTTATATTTAATATTGTAATAGTCATATTTTTTTTTAGTTATATAGCT